CACCCCGCCCCACCCAGAAATCGCATCCTCGGGTGACGGGACCTGAATCGCCTCCAAGGGCGGTCTGATTTATCACCAGCCCGGCTTCCCTGCGCCTCTTGCTATTTATAAAGAGGTTTCCATTCTCGATGACTCAGCTCGCAGGCCTGCAGGGTTCGCTGTTTCCGAGGCCTGCCGCTAGGTGGCGGTCTCTGCTCACCGAACGTCTCGGGCCGGACCGGGCCTCTCCACCACAGTCCCACAAGTCGCTATTAGAGGCGACGGTGGTCAGTTCCCACCACGTGCACGATCACTCAGACATAACAGCCCCTCTGGCGTGCCACTGCGTAGCTGCTGTGTGTGTGTGTAATGGAAGTTCTCATATCTTGTAATGGAAGAGGGTCCCGGAAGTCCCTCCTTCTGCCAGGAGAAGTGGGGTCCCCTTTGATAGGGGCACATGTTTTGTTCAGGTGCAGAACTGCAGTAAAAAACTGAGTAGCTTCTATCCTGGGGCCAGCTGTTCCCCAGTTATCTCTTGAACTTAATTTTCCAGACCAAGCAGGATGGGGGCGTGCTGCCAAGGGGACCCCTGACAGTGATTGGGGGGGTCTGTTCTTCCTTGCCAGACGACTGCCCACCTCCCCCGGCCCCCTTCCCACACCGCATAGTGGAGCTGAGGACTGGAAATGTCAGCAGTGAATTCAGCATGAACTCCAAGGAGGCGCTGGGAGGGTGAGAGTTGGGACCCTTGGGTGGGTCCCATATACAAGAGCACCCATCCCTGTGGTCTCACATCTGCCCCACGCAAGGCCAGACACACCACCTGACATGGCCTGTGCGGGCATGTGTACGTCTATATGGTCACACATGTGTGCACGCGGTGTCACACACTGATGTGCACACTGTTACTGCCGTGCAGACACTCAGCTGGCCAGCGTTTCCACAGGAAATACACCCGTTTTCCGTCTGTCTGCATTCCAGACACCATGCTGACCCCCTCTTGGCGATTCCTATCTTGTGAAAAAGCCCTGACTGGTCTTGTACCTCTAACTTCCTCCCTATTGCCTGAAGGTGCCTGCCCCCAGGGAAGGGCCAGCGCCCCTGCCTGCCCTAAGTCTAGAAAGGTCGCATCCCAGGGCCACTCCCTGTGCACATGGTTTGGTTTTTGTGGCCCAAAGCCCTCCCTTCGGCCGCTGCCGTGGCAGTCCAGCTCTCACTTTAGGAGGGAGTCAGGGAGGCTGGGGTGACTTTCATCCCAAGGGCAGATCCAGAGGCACCAATGGAACGCCAGCGCCTGCTGACCTTCCCTTTGGGATCCCCTCACTCCCAGCCTCTTTTCTCTCCAGTGGCAAGTTCGGGGCAGTCTGTACCTGCACAGAGAAAGCCACAGGCCTCAAGCTGGCAGCCAAGGTCATCAAGAAACAGACCCCCAAAGACAAGGTAACAGGAAGGGGGCTGGCTATGCATGAGGGGCCGGAGGGCCTTGGAGTGGGGGCTTCTCAGCTCTCTCCATTGTTGCTGCTGGAACTGGGGCCGGTGGA